GAATGTTCGCAGCGGGATTTCGCGTCAAAGTTCGGATTGTGCCTCGTCACTTTCATGATGGCCCCGTCAAGCCAACCCGAGTCCCCAGAACTCGAGTCTAACGCCTCCCCAGCACTATTGCTCCAGTGAGAGAGCAAAGGCCAGCCGAACACGTTCCAAGCCAGCAGACGGGTGGCACTCCGCGAGATGGCCCTTTTTCTTCCCGAGAGAGGGCGGTAGTGTCCATTCCCCCCTGCTCTGTCACGCGAAAACTACTTTCAACACGTTGACCGAAGCTGTTGACCCCTACTTGGCCAAGGTTGCGCATCTTCTGGCCGTGGAGCTCTGGCTGGATGGTTCCGGATGCTTGGACATATCTCAAGTAGACTCTTGGGTGCGCACTCTTGTGGCTGTGACTGGACTAAGACCACTGACGTCTTTCGCCCTAGAATACCGCGCTTTCTACAGCATCACAAGGTGCACAGTGACGGAGGCTCTGAGTGAAGCCCAAGACCGCGCGGGTAGACACGCTCGCACGTTCAGTACCTACCGTCTGCTGTACCAGAGGATGCACGCAACTGAAGCGTCGACTGCACTGCATTTAATCGAGGCCCGGCTTGCCGCCCGAGGATTGCAATGGCAGCCTGTGCAACTCGCATTGTCTGGTGTTTCATCCAGTGCCGGGCGAGCACCGCATTGCTGCCATGAGAAAGTTGTTCATTGGTGACATGACCACGCATCGCATGGCCCACAGGCTCGGCTGGAAGGCGTCCTCATGCCTCTTTTGTCATTCGCTGGCCAGCGACAGCGTTGCGCATCGTGACACCTGCGTGGTGGTGCAACCCTTGCGTAGCAACTTGTCTCTGGAGCATGCTCGTTTGACAATTCCTCATCTGTGCTTGCAGGAGCAGCTAGGAGGCGACTCATACATCCAGCAGGTGCTGGCATTCACAAGTGCCATTGCACGGTTGCGACGTTCACTGTTGCGAGGGCGCCAGTCCTTCTCTCACGACGACATGCTCAACCACGTGCGGCGCCTCTGTGATGACCCATGGCTGGCTGGCAGCCACCATGAGCTTACACGGTCGACGAGGCGCGGCGCGAGAGCGAGGCTCGCGCCAACCTTTGACACGGGGTGGGTGGTATCCGCGTTAGACAGAGCTGCTCGCCGCTAAGGGGCTGCAGGGCCGCGCCAAGCATCATGCGGCAGCGTTCGGTCTCACGACGGCGACAGACGTGTAGCTACAAATTGCGGCGCTTAAATCGGCGATGCACGTAACAGCGAAGCGGAGTACGCAAGGGTGCTGGGTTCCGTTGAACATGATTTTGGTAAATTCTGCTCCGCGAACTCGCTTCGTGTTAGATTATATTATCTTTTTTAGGTGGCTCGTCAGCTCAACTGCAGTTGGAGATGCTCCTAGACTACGCTGAGGCCAGCTATGCGTGCGGCGTGGCCGCGTTTCAACGGCTGCGAAACGTCCGATCTCTCGTCGATGTAAGAATTGACCACGTGCATCGTGAATACAACTCGGATGCGGCTTCGGTGTGCAACCTAGTTGTACAAAGAGTGGAAGCCAACGCGCCGACAGATGCGAGAGGACGTCACGTGTCCGTGCACTGGGCGCTGCTCAGACTCTCCAGGTCGGCAGGTTCACGCCCGGGCGGCAGGTCTTCGCTCGGCTTCCTCCCTCTTTTTGGGCTCGTCCCTCGGGCCCTCTCCGGGACCCCTTAGGGGCTTCTGCCCTCCCGCCAGCTCTGTCGACATCATCCACGCGCTGCACCGTGAAACAGCGGTGATGACCGTGCTCTTCCCTCATGCGTTCGCCCGTGCTGCCTGCATGGGCCAGCACCGGCTGCACACACCATGAACCATACTACTTCGAGCTACAGCTAACCAGACACACGTAGATCCTTCACATCGAACGTGGTTCTTTCAAAGCTGTGTCTCGGACGGGTGCAAGTTTCCCTTTGACGCTTGCAGACCATAAGGGTTGCTAGCACTGTTGATGAGTTTCGCTGTGGTCAGACCGCAACCTACCACCAGAGAAATATTTGACCAAGCGTGGCCGCGAGGAGCGCGTCGATGTGAGAGCTTCTTCGGCATATGCATGTACATGGCTAGATCGCGCGAAAGACAGAGAGAGAGAGAGAGACGCACAACGAAAGAGAACACGAGCAAGAGAAAGCGAGAGAGAGAGAGAGAGAGAGCGCCAGCCAGCATCTGACTGCCTACCAGACCACCCCAACCCAACCCGGAGACCCGGATTTCGGGTTGGGGGGGGGTATGGGTTCCATACGTGTTTTTTCGATGTTCCCCGACCCCCCTCCCACTGGAAATGGAGGGCAAATTGAGGCCTTCGGGTTGGGTTGGGGTGGTTTGGTGGGTGGTGAGCATCTGGTTCACCTCTCCTCGGCAGGTCCCCTCCCGAAGGACGCCCGTGCCGCGCGCCGACCCGCGGCACGGTGGGGCGCGAGGACGTCGCGCGCGGGGCACCGCGGCCGTCCGCAGGGCGGGCCTGCGACGAGCCTCGCGGTGGCGCGTCTCCGGCCATCGCTCGGACGTCCACTTCCTGTGTTTTCCCAACCATCCTGTGGTGTTGGGTCCTCGTTTTGAAGAGACAGCGCCCCGCGTTCACTCCTCCTCCTCCCGCTGCCCCCTCCCTCCTGCCATCATCATCATCATCATCATCACCATCACCATCACCATCACCATCATCATCATCATCATCATCATCATCATCATCATCATCATCATCATCATCATCATCATCATCATCATCATCATCATCATCATCATCATCATCATCATCATCATCATCATCATCATCATCGCTCGGACGTCCACTTCCTGTGTTTTGCTTTCGGCTTCGTGCGTGGTTGTGTTCGCCAGATGGTCGAGGATGCTCCTCGAAGGTCCTCGCCGAACATAAAAAAATGCACACGTCCGAGCGATGCCAGGGTCTGGGAACCATCGGGACCGTCCTCCGTGCCAGCGGGGGCGCTCCCAGATGACTCGCCATCGCTCGGACGTCCATTTCCTGTTTTTTTTGTGTGTTTTTTTGGTTTCGTGCGTGGCTTTTTCGCCAAAGGATCAAGGATGCTCCTCGCCGACGGAAAAATGCACACGTCCGAGCGATGCCAAGATGAGCGACGATCAACAACGGGGGTCTTGCGCGAGATCACGCAGCAGCCTTGCGCGGCGGCGTGCGCAGGGCCGCTGGCGCGGCACAGCACATTGGGAGCGAGGGCGCCTGCGCTCGAGCTTACGCGGGCAGCGTGCGCGCCGTTGTGGACGAAGGCGAGCCCGTCTTCCTGCGTCGCTCGGACGGGACTGCGTCAGATGGGGTCAGAGGACACGCCACGTCGCCGATGCTGGGCCAACGAACCAGCAGCAGCAGAGTTCGAACTTGCACGCGAGCTTCACTCCGCGGCCCGCTTTTTGGAGTAGGCTTCGTGCTCGTACGGGGCCTTGCCTTGCTTGCCTTGCTGGAACAGGTGCGTAGATGAAGGCTTGTTCACGTTCAAATCGGGGCCCTGGCTGGACCCGTCGTTGACCTTTATGATCCAGGAAGAGGAGGAGGAGAAGGAGGAGGATGAGAAGGAGGAGAAGGAAGAGGCGGAAGAGTAGGAGGAGGAGGAGGAGGAGGAGGAGGAGGAGGAGGGGGAGGACCTCCGACGTCGTGATTTATTCCGCAGCGCGGACCCCCAAATGTCTGGCCACCCTTTCGGGGCCGGTTTTGCAACCCTGGTCGTGTGTCAAAGGTCGCAAGGTCCGGCGAGAGACCCTGGAGCGTGTAAGTTACCCGAACCTCCCGCCGTGACCCTGGAATCCGACGACACGAAATACTAAAGCATCATCGCAAATTTCGTTTGGAGCCTTGAACCCCATCTCTCTGCGGCATGATTCGAGCCAGATCGACCCGCGAGGGTCCCGGGGCACGAGTCAAAGCAGAATCGACCACTGCAGAAAAATGCAAACCCTGGATCTCAAATGATCATCTTGGTGACCTTTTCTCTTCTTGCCCGGGCAACGGTTGTTGCGCTCGGAGGGAGCGGGGGGGTTCGGGCGGACGAGTAACGGTAGCGGCGACCGCGGCGTGCACCCGCCAGGGTTCGTCCGCGCCACCAGCGCATCGCCTGTGTGCATCACAGCATGTAGGGAGGTCCAGGCCGCCCCCCCAATACGATCGTTAGCGTTACCCGGGGGGTGGGGGGAGGCGGTTTGGCCCACACAGCCAGCCCGCATCAGAAGGATGCGCGGTAAGGATGCAAGGGCCTTGGAGGGTCGTGCCGAGGCTCTTCGAGCGGGGCTGGCCATCGAAAGTGCTTGAGGCTGGACCGAAGCTGGCCGACGGGGCACGGATGCTAGGGCAGTCTTGGGAAGTTTGCGCATCCTTACTATGCGGGTTGACTGTACCCTTGTGGATGACAGTGGACACTCTAACCGTTCTATCATTGAAAGTCCCACGTCGTTTACATGTCTACGAACTTTCTAAATCATGTTCGAAACATGGTTGAAACATGCTTCAGCACCTGAAAGACATGTTTCATACATGTTTTAGCCATCTGGGAACTATCTGGCAACATGCCTCCTCTCCCTTGATCGTCTTCCACAGCGGTGCCCTGGAGAGGTGAAACATAAACGTTCACTGCCACACCGTGAGCACGGCTGGAACGAAGGTGTTGGGCGCCCGAGTGATCCGGGGTAACTCGGGTGTGGATTCCCGTAAAACGAACCCGAGTTAGCCCTGACCCGAGTTACCCCTGATGATTTTTGGGCTCCGGACGCCCGAATTATCCGGGGTAAGTCGGGTCCGGGGTAAGTCGGGCTCGGATCCCCGAAGAACGAACCCGAAATAGCCCTGACCCGAGTTACCCCTGATGATTTGGGGCTCCGGACGCCCGAATTATCCGGGGTAAGTCGGGTTCGGATTCCCGAAAAACGAACCCGAGTTATCCCTGACCCGAGTTACCCCTGATGATTCGGGGCTCTGAACGAAGGTGGCGAGGGGGCAGGCCGCCTCCTCGCTCTCGCCCTCGTGGCGAGCGCCTGGGCCGCTTCCCGCACTGGCCGTGGCGCGGCACGCCCGCGGGGCGCGGGGCTGCGCCGGCTCCCCCTGGCCCGGGCCCGCGTCCGCGTCCGAGCCCGCCTGCGCGCTCGCCTCGGCCGCGCCGCCGGCGTCGTCGGCGTCGGCGTCGCCGTCGGCGTCGTCGTCGACGTCGGCGTCGACGTCGGCGTCGTCGTCATCGTCGTCGCCGTCGTCATCGTGCTCGTCGTCGTCGCCCTCTTAGAAGCCAATCCCGGCCCCGAAAAGGCCTTGTGGGAAGCCTCCGGGCCCTCCTACAAAGGCCCCTGCCCCTGCCTTCAAGAGTCCCCTCCCCCGCTTGCTTAGAAGGCCAGAGGAACGACGAAAATTAAAGGGGTCTTACGTCTTACGCACGATGGCGCAGCGACCTTACGAGGTGGCTTGCACGGGCCGCCAGCACGGCACGCTACATTGGAAGCGAGGACGCTCTCTCGCGACCGTACGCGGACAGCTGACGCACCAACGTCGGTGAAGCCGGATCTTTGCTTTCTTCCGTCGCCCAGATGGGGCCCGCGGGCAGGTGTGCGAAGTTCCCAAGAGCTTTGCAAGGCACGAGCGCACTTTTGTTTCCGCCGAGGCGTCGTAGCAAATGCTGGTTCAAAGCAGTCTCCCCAACTAGGCTTGCCTAAGGGGTTCTAACTTCGTTAAAGGTAGGTGCATCGTATTCTTTCGTTGCCCGTTGCCCAGAGGTCCCCTGGGGTCCTCGGGTTCCTCGACCTCGGTGCCTCCGATTCTTACGTTGCCCGTTGCACGGAGATTCCCCGGGTTCCCTGGGTTCCCTGGTTCCTCGGGTTCCCCAGGTTCCCCGGGTTCCCTGGTCTCGTTCATTGCTTGGGTTCTTCGGGTTCCCTGTTCCTTTCTTGGGATCCTCGGGTTCCCCAATCTTGTCTCTCGGGTCCCCCCAGGTTCCCCGGTCTGTTCCTTGCTTAGGTTCCTGGGGTCCCCGAGTCGTGTTCCTCGGGTTCCCCAGCATTGCAAAGCAATGCCAAGACAAAGCAACGCCAAGCAATGCAAAGCCATGCGAAGCAGTCCAAGCAGTGCGCCCATGCAATAATAAGTCGTTCCTTGATTGGGGTCGCGCAGGGTTCAGTCCCCAGTTAGGCTTGCCTCCGGGGTTCTTACTTGGCTAAAAAAGTTGGTGCCTCGGCCCGAGGCAGCCTCGGCCTGAGGGGCTTCTTACTTTGTCTAAAATAGCCACCCGAGGCAGCCTCAGGTGGTTACTGTGTCCGTTCCTCCGAGGTCCCTCGGGTTCCTCAGGTAGCCCTGGTTCCTCGGGTTCCTCGGGTTCCCCGGGTTCCTCGGGTTCACCGCGGGTTTCTCGGGTTCCTCAAGTTCCTCGGGTTCCCCGGGTTCCTCGGGCTCCCCAGGTGCCTCGGGCTTCCCTGCTTCCTCGGGGTTCCTCGGGATCCTCGGGTTCCCCAAGTTCCCCAAGCAATGCGAAGCAATGTCAAGCAATGCGAAGCAATGCGAAGCAATGCCAAGCAATGCCAAACACTGCGCCCATGCATAAGAAACTGTCCCCCAATTGGGATCGCGGCGGGTTCATTTCTAGTATTCGCACATCTCTTGAGTAAGTACGTCGCAACGCCAGCATGGTTACGCACCTTGGTCCCTGATACCTCAACAAGGGGAGGCCATTCACCATCATTTGATATCAAGTGGTGCGATTGTGTGTATGTGCAAACACAGCTTGACGTTGCCAAACGACGGTGCTTTCTCAACCTGCACGAGCGATATGTTGCAAGCTCTTGGCTTTTTTGCCAGCACTTGCAATATGTTTCCAAGCTCCTCGAGCAGCAGGTGCTGGCGTGCTGGCTTCTGCGAGCGCGTCGGTATCAATGCGGTCGCCAAGTTAAAAGTCGGATGCTTTCGACGTGCGTAGTTGGCATCTCGGATATCCGAGCTACGTCTGACGCGTGGGTCTGAAGCTCGTTGTGTTGGCTCTCGCATCAATTCTCGCGGTGGGGCAAACGCTGGTTTAGCCGACGCTAGCGCACTCGTACCTAAAGCGGCACCGCGTGCCTCGTTTGCAAGTTTGACGAACTCTATAAAATGGTGTTCCACTTCCAACCACCAACGACGTTTTTTTGCAAGCCCGAACGCGTGCGTCATCTGATTTCACCAACTGGCGCGCGTGCCATAGCATAACATGGCATGCGTTGTCAATGTAGTTTGGCTGGCCTTGTGTTGCGACTGAGCTCTTGTTGATGTCTCGCACTGAAAAAATCCCCAATGAGGCTTGCCTAAGGCTTAGGGGTTCTTACGTGGTTAAAGGTTGGTGCCTCGGATTGTTTCGTTGCACGCTGCCCTGAAACTTCTCGGGTCCCTCGGGTTCCCCAGGTTCCTCGCCCTCGGCGCCTCCGATTCTTCCGTCGCCCGTTGCCCAGAGGTTCCCAAAATTCCCCGGGTTCTCGGGGTTTCTCCGGGTTCTCAATTTCCCCGGGTTCCTCGGACTCCTCAGGTTCCCGTGGTTCCCTGGTTCCTCGGGTTCCCGGAGAACGGGTTCCTCGATTTCCCTGGTCTCTTTCTTTGCTTGGGTTCTTCGGGTTCCCTGTTCCTTGCTTGGGTTCCACGGGTCTCCTGGTCTTGTTCCTCGGGATTCCCGAGATCCCCGGTCTTGTTCCTTGCTTGGGTTCCTGGGGTTCCCAGGTCTTGTTCCTCCGGTTCCCCGGCATTGCAAAGCAATGCCAAGACAAGCAACGCCAAACAATGCAAACCAACGCGAATCTACGCAAAGCAATGCCACGCAAGGCCAAGCAGGGCCAACCAATGCCAAGCAAGTGCCAAACAATGCCAAGCAACGCCAAGCCAAGCAATGCAAAACAATGCGAAGCAATGCCAAGCAATGCGCCGATGCAATAGGAAATGTTCCCCCAATTGGGGTCGCGCCGGGTTCATTTTCCTCCCACGGCGAAGTTGCGGCACCGTCAGGGATGATAACCAAGGGCGCTGACAAACGTGATGGTCATCACCGGGCGTTGCAGGTGAGGGCAAGCAGGTGGACCAGCGCACTGGTGCAAGCACTGCGCTGAGTCCCGTGGAGGAGACGCACCCGCAATGAGGCGCGTGCATCTGGTGAGACGCGCACACACGTAACACACTGCTCCTCCTCCGGCCCTGCGGGAGCTGCGAGCGCGTGCAATCTGGTTGCAGTGGTTGTAGCGGGGGACGCGACCTGAAGTGCACCCGCACAGCTGGTGGACGCGCCCGAGCTCGACGCACAGACACACGCACACACTGTTCCTCCAGCGGCGGGGTGACGGCACAGTCGCGAGGTTCCAGAACGAGACCCCCGTACGGGCTGCAAACTTGACCAGACTTGGCGGGTGGGTGGGCAGAGCGTGGCTGTCGCAAGCACGCAAAAAGAGCATCGCTGGGCGACCGGTTGCGAAACAACAGTTCAACAGCATCACACGTCGGGCGTGCAAGGAAAGAAAGGAGGATAGACGGAGCCGAGCACACACACACACACACACACACACGCGCGCGCGCGCGCTCTTTTTGAAGGTCGTGGCCACGCGCGCAGCAACGCAGCGAGCCTAGGCTAATGGCCGAAGAGGGAAACGCACAAACGCGCAAACGTACACACGCACACAAACACACACACACACACACACACACACACGCGCGCACACGCGCGCGCACACGCGCACAAGCGCACACCAACGCACACACACACACACGTACAGACGCGCACACACAGACGCACGCACGGACACTCACACTGGCACAGGCACAGACACACAGACACATGCACAGACACAGACACAGACACAGAAACACAAACACACAGACACACACACAAAGACGCAAATACAGACACACAGACACGGATGAAGACAAGCAGACATAGACACAGACACACGCACACAGACGCAACCATAGACACAGACATAGACACACGTATACACACACACGCTTACACACACACACACACACACACACACACGCACGCACGCACACACACACACACTCTCTCCCTCTTTCTCTTTTTCGGCGTTGCGACCAAGCTCGCAGCAACGCGGTGAAGCCAGATTGATGGCCGAAGAGGGAAACACACACACACACACGCTCACACAGATGCGCACACACAAACGCACGCACACACACCCACACACACACACCACACACACACGCACACACACACACACACACACGCGCGAGCGCCACCTTAAAATCGGCAGACGCGCACGCGCGGCGACGCGCCAGAAAAGCGCTGGGCAGAACGGCGGAAGGCCCAGCAAGAGAAGCCTCCACGCGCGCACGCACTCGGACACCTTCTCCACCCGCTGAGTGGCACCGCTGTCACGAAAGGCGGCCCTGGGGCACAGGCAAACGAATTACAAACGAATTTCACGCAGCATAGTGGATGAAGGCCGCGAGGATGTGCAGCGGCAGGGGGAACACATGGCGGACCTGCGTGCAACGGACTGCTTAGAGCCCGTGGGAGCAATACACACAGATTTTGCGCTGGCGGCTGGGCAGAGATCGACTGCCCCGGCGGAGTGGCAACGGGGGACACGCTGTATGCGTATTAAGGCCGCAATGCACGGGAGGAGGAGGAGGAGCCCCAGCGCGACGGGGGGAGAAATACGCACACACACACATCACGCACACGCACACACCGTTCCTCCGTCGGCGATGTGACACCACCACCGCGATAGAGTATGCGCTGGAAGCGATCATACTAAGTGCATCCCGCCTTGAACATGGACGGTCGAACTGCGTTGAGACAAGCACCCAAACGACCCAAACGTGAAACAAAAACGCCAGCCATTGATAAGAGCACGTGCGGCGCAAAAGCTGCGGCGAGAACCATGCAACTGCAGTGATGGCAGGTGCGATACCTCCGGCACGAGGGGAAAACTTGAATGGTGTTGGCGACGGCGCAGCACGCCAGCGGAGCCCAAAGTGACCACCCTGCCAGAACGGCATCAGCCAGGAGTGCAGCACAAACAATGCGCACACACAAAAACATACACACACAAATTTCGTCGTCGGCTAGGAAACACACAAACACACAACGCACACAAACACACAAACACAGAAACCATCAAACACTCAATCACAACAGGACGCACACACACAAACACTCACACACAACAACTCCAAAAAACAAACACACGCAAACACACAAGCACAAACACAAACACAACGACAAGCAAAAACACACGCAAACACACAAACACTAACACAATCACAAACACAACCTCAAACACAAGCACAAGCACGAGCACCAACACAAACACAAACACAGAAACACACAGACACACACAAACACGACACACACACACACACACACTCTTTTTGGCGTCGCGGCCACGCGCGCAGCGACGCGGCGTAATACAGGTCGTAGGAGGGCGAGACGCGCGCGAGCCGGCCCAAATCAGGCGGCAAGGCGATCCTACATACAACACGCTCAAACGCACTCACACGCAAGCACACATTTTTTGATTCGCGGGTCGAGAGCGCACCTCTTCCGGTCGAAGATAAGCGGGCCGCGCGAAGCTTGAATTAACAGAGGGGGGCACGCACACACATATAATATCTTCAAAAGAAGATAAGGCAAGGCCGGGGCAAATCCTGGGAACCGCGGGGAATGCCACGTGGCAAGGGCAAGCACGCGCAGCCGGGCCAACGCGCTTTGCTACACCCCCTCCCGCACCCCGCGCCGTGGAGGCGACCCCCCGTCGCCTGCAAGTTGTCTCTGCACCACCGCCTGACGCGGGGCTCTGCCTCGGTGCAGGGGCGGGGAGAGGGAGGGAGCAAACGCAGCAGGGACGGGGAGGAGGCGCAGGAGGAGGAGCAGGACCTCCTCCTCCTCCTCGGAGGAGGAGGAGGACGAGGGACGAGGGGAGGGCACAGGCAGAAGCGGAGGCAGGAGGAGGAAAGAGAGCTCAACATCAGGCGCCAGAGGAAGGACGAGGAGGGACACGGACGAGGAGGGGCAGGACACGGACACGAACGAGGAGGAAGGGTACACGAAGGATACGGGCACGGGCACAGGAGGACGTGGAGGAGGAGGGAAGGGCACAGCAAGATGCGGGGCAGGATGAGGAGGACAGAGAGTTCAACAGCAGGCGGCAGAGGAGGGGCGAGGAGGGATGAGACGCAGACGGGACATGAACACATTGCCCAAGGACGTGCCAAACCCTTGAGAACATTATTTCTACTAAACTCAGTACCGCTTAGTTCCAAAAGAATGCATGACCATACCTGCAGTCCCCTTGAACACTTCGCCAACGAACGCCAGGCACACCCAACGCTCTCATGCAGGACACAGCTCCGCTGGACCACGCAAGAGACCATGAAAGCAGCGACGATTGCGAATGTTGCGCCCCGCAGGGAGGGCGAGGTCTGGTTCTGAGATGCAGGACACCACTCCGCTGGACCTCCGAGGAGCCCACGAACGCGGCGACAGTTGCGCAGTCTGCAGCCCCGCACGGCGGGCGAAAGCTAGCTCTGATGGGCGTCGGACGCGGCCCCAATGGACATCCGACAGCCCACAACAGCGGCGACCCTTGCGCAGTCCGCAGCCCGCAAGGAGAGCGAGGTCTAGATATGATGTGCGTCGGAGGACACCACTCAATTGGACCTTTCAGGATCACACGGCAGCGGCGACAATTGCAAAGTTCGCGGCCCCGCAAGGAGGGCGGGGTCTAGTTCTAAGTTGCGTGAGACACCACGGCGCTGGCCCTCCAAGGATCGTACGACAGTGGCGACAGTCGCGCAGTTCGCAGCCCCGCAGAGGGGAGGGAGGATAGGTCGAATTCTGATCTGCGTAAGACACACCTACGCTGGCCTTCTGATGAGCCCACGAAGCAACTGCGACACATGCACAAGTCACAGCCCCGCGGGGAGGGCGAGGTCTATGTCTAGTTCTGATCTGCGTAAGACACCATTGGGCTGGCCCCACCAGCAGCCCACAAACGCGGCGACAGTTCAGCAGCCCTCAAACGCGTGTAGCTGTGGCAGCGCGCACAAGGGGGCAGCGGGAGGGTGGAAGGCTGCTTCGAAGGAGGCTGCTTCTCAGAAGGCACCGGCCTTCCATCTATAGATACCGCGCCGTAGCCCCGCAGGGAAGGCGAGGTTTAGTTTTGATGAGTGCACACCGCTGCTTTGGCCACCCCGGGAGGCCACAAAAGCGGCGACGTACGCGCAGGTCGCGGCACCGCAGGGAGGGCGGGAGGGCGAGGCCACATTCTGATCTGCGCCTAGCACCGCTGCGTTGGCTAACGAAGGCGGCGACAGCTGGCAGCTCGCAGCCCCGCCAGGAGCGGAGGGAGGGCGAGGTCTAGGCCTGATCTCCCTACTACTCCACTGCGCTGGCCCTCCCAGGAGCCCACGAAAGCGGCGCGAAAATTGACAGCTCGCAGCCCCCCGAGGGAGCGCTAAGGAGAGTTCCGAGGAAACGAAACAAGGAGGTAGGAGGCAGGAGGAGGGACGGGGAGAAGAAGAAGAGGACAGAGACCGTTGTGCTCTATTCAAAGCGAGATACCAACCACGAGAGGGATGGCAAAAATATGAGCACGACCCAAGTAAGCGATCATCCGAGAGGTCCGTGGATACAGCGTCCAAGGGGAACATTTGTGAAGAGGCTCGCACGCTCAGAGAAGCGCGATATCGCACAGGACCACCGGCAGCGGTGTGCGCAAGCCTCGAACGAAACAACGTCGAAAGGCCGCGAACGCCGCGCATTCGAGCTAGGCTTGTACAGGCACGCACACGGCTTACACTTCACTTCCTCGTTTCCTTGATTTTCCCCGGAAACCATGTGGGCCCCTGAAGAGTACACCACTGGCACTCCAGACTCAGACTTTCTAAAGATGGCTGCCTTGCAATCGAAATCAGTTGCGGAACGTCTTCCGAAGCTTACATTCCAGAGGTGTGTCCCAGCCGGGGTAACGCCCGTCCGACCAGGGTATAGCCCATCCATACGGGGTATAGAGTCTAGACTACTGCCCAAAGGGGGGGGGGGGAGGCGGATTCCATACCCACCAGCGCACGCCCACAGGGGAAGACCCCACCACACCACCTCCTCAGGGGTGGGGGGCCATCGCGCGGGGTGGGCGGGTGGGGGCGATGGCATCAGCATGATGGGGGGGGGCCAGACCCTGGACTAGATATACAACTATACGTTCGTGTGTATATGTATCTATATAAACATACCTGTATACATATATATACACATATATATGTATATGTATAGGTGTATGTGTATAACTAGATGCATGTGTTTTCTGAATGCATGTTCGTATGTATAGATGTGTGTATATCTTGACTGTCTGGCAATCCTCGTGCTCATTGGTTCCTTGGTTCGGCATAGGAACGGGTTGGGACGGCTATGGCGTACGGTCGTTTGTTCGTTTCGAGGTCGGACCTACTGGGGCCCGTCAGGAGGCCTCTTGGGGCCTCTCGGTGGCCTGTTGGGGGCCGTTGGGTGCCACTGTTGGGCCGCTTACGGGCCTGCTGACGGTCTCGCGGGCCCCTTTGGGGCCGAAGGCTCGAAATCTCAATTCGAGTTCCCCCTCTTGGATCCCTCAGAGGGCCCTCCGGAAGCCCTCTTAGGCCGTCTTGGGCGCTTCTTCGGCCGTCTTGGGGCCCTCTTGGGGCGTCTCAGGGCCCTCTTGGGCCGTCTGGGGGTGATCTGGGAGGCCTCCTGGGCGCCGTGAAGGCCAAAAAGTCGGGCATGTTAAACCTGTACGCTTTCCCTCAGGAATGGGACGATCTTGGAACTCCCTTGGGAGGGTTCTTGGGGACCCTCGGGGCGTCTTCGAGGCCTCTTGGGCCGCCTAGAGGCCACCTGGAGAGTCTTCGACCGATCGCTCGGCGACTCGGGGCCCTCTTGGACCGTCTGAGAAAGCTTTTCGGAGCCTTCGTGGCCCTTCTGAGGGCCCTCTTGGAGCACCCTGGGTCGTCTAGGAGCCCTCTTGAGGCACTCTGGGGCCGTCTTGGGGCCCTCCAGGGGCGCTCCGGACCCAGCCCCGCCAACGCGACCGAGGTCAAGCCAAATCCGATCCTATGAACATAACTACCCATTGTATTGGCACGCCTATTAAGATGGTACGAACACGGGACAACCACGGGATAACTGCAAAAACAACCACGGAACAACCACAAGACGACCACGGGAAAACCACGGGACCAACGCATGGCAACCACGGGACACCCACGGGCCAACCAAGGAACAACCACGAGACCAGCACAGAACCAACACATGACAACCACGGGCCATCCGCGGGACAACCACGGGACCACCACGGGACCACGGGACAACCATCGTCACAACCACAGGACATCCGCGGGACAATCCCTGGACAACCACAGGACCAACGCGGGACAAGCACGGGACAACGATCTAACTCTCCATCGGTAGCACCGTCAATCTACCGAGTGTATTGCCGATATACTTGCAGGTCCCACGACTGATCGGCATCAACATGAAAAATTGACCGACCTCGATATCATTATCTATTCTGGTCAGAATGAAGGGGCCGAGCGGCCATTCATTGTCTCTGAGTGCGTGGCTGACTAGGGAATCCGTGGTGAAAATTATGTTTGTTACGTTGTTGTTGCTGTTGTGGTTTGAGCTCTCACTTTTGAAAAATAATTATTGCTGATCCCCCCGACCGGTGCACATTGTATCTTTTCGATTGAAATACCCCTTCTGGGGCTCACACCCTGTTCTTTATCAGCGGAAATATTGAAGCTCAAACTGTGTCTTTGGCCCCCGGTTTACAACAACAGCGGCCCCCGCCCGATACTTCCTCACAATTTATTGAAAAATCGCGCTCTCGTTTGGGACTTCCTGACAAAGTACCACTGTGTCGCGGCTCTCGCTTGATACATCTGGACAATTTACTGCAAAATCGCGCTCTCGCTTAGTACTTCTTCGCAACTTACCACCGAGCCGCTTCGCTCGATATTTCCGCACAATTGATTCAGATGCCGGTCCTCGGCAATCAGGAATCGCGCTCCCGCTACATATTGCCTAGCGGTTCAAGCAAGACCCACGCTTCAACGACCCGCCCGCTCGACCCGCCCGTCGGGGCCTGCCCGCCCGACCAGGCCGTTAATGATTGCAGTCGCCGCTCGCTGCCCTCCGCCCGCCTTCGATGCCCCTCGCTGTCCGTACTGGTTCCGCGGTCGCCTTCGCTCGCTGCCCTTCGTGGCCCCGTTGCTGCCCTGGATCGGTTCCGTCGCTGCCCCTTGTGGCCCCGCATTATATGCCCTTCGTCGCCCCCGCTCGCACGCGCCCGTCGTGGCCCCATACGCATGCCCTTCGTAGCCCCGCTGTCGCCCTTCGTGGCCCACTCGCTGCCCTTCGTGGCCCCTTTGCTGCCCTCAGTGGCCCCGCTCTCGCCCTTTGTGGCCCCGAATACGAATGCCCTTCGTGGCCCTCGCTCGCTCGCGCCCGTCGTGGCCCCATATGCATGCCCTTCGTGGCCCCGCTGTCGCCCTTTTGGGCCCCCTCGCTGCCCTTCGTGGCCCCGGTGCTGCCCTCAGCGGCCCGCCCTCTGTGGCCTCGGATTTTATGCCCTTCGTGGCCCATGCTGGCTTTTCGCACGAGTTACTTAGGAATCGCGCTATCGCTCGAGACTTCCTCGCGATTCATGCAGGACCCACGCTTCAGCAACCCGCCTGCTCGACATCGTCGCCTGGGCCCGTTTTCCCGACCAGCCCGCTATGGGTCTGCCCACCCGATCTGCCCGTCTGATTATACCACTTGTTTTCTGCTCCTTGCCCCCCTCCTGCTAATTTCTCTTGTGCTCCATTACTATCCCTCCCCTTTCCAACCGTCCTCTCTTCCCTTGCTTAGGACTGCACTAAATACACGTGGCAGGTAAAGAAGATATACCCCCAAGGGGGTACGATCAAAGACGACGAGGGCGGGTACCGAGGGTTTGGGATATAACGTATTGATTAGCACGTGAGCAGATAGAAGCGAACAGTCCTAAAAGGAATAGTGTTACTATTGTTGTTGAATGTTACTCACTGAACAATTCTTATTGTTGGACCCCTTACAGGCGCCCTGGCGCTCTCGCCGAGGCGCCGGCTGCATTTTCATTGAAAATGAGGCTCACTCTCAAGCGGTTTGGGGGACCGCCAAAATCGCCCCCCAACAACAACAACGCTCCCGTTCGAGACTTCCCCCTTTTTAGACAGGGCCGGTGCTCTTGCTCGCCGCCGAAAACAGCCGTGTCAGCAAAACCGGCGCCCCCGCTCGAGACGTCCTCCCGTTTTACCTTGGACAGGCGCGCTACTCTTTCTCTCATCGGCGCCGCCCCCCAGCAACAACAACAAGCAACCATCTTGGCCCGTCTGCGACCTATATGGAACCTACCCAGAAGCTCCAGGGGGGCCGGGAAAGCTCTGTGGAGGCTCCGGGGAGGCCACTAGGAGAGGGTAATGTCTTTCAATGGCCCATGGTGGTCTTCGGCCCGGGGGCCCCCTGGGGCAGGGCGTCCAGTAGATAGGAGGTATTTACCGACGGGGCAACCGCAAGACAACCACGGGACAACCACGAGACAACCACGAGACAACCTAGGGCGACCATCGGGACAACGACGGGGCAACCTGGGGGCAACCATCGGGACAACCATCGGGACACCCATGAACAACCGCGGAACATCTACGGAAGAAGTGCAGGCCGGCCACGTGTGAGAGTGACCCTCCGTCGGAGTGACATGTGGTGAGGGGCCCGCAGGCGTCCCCCAACGCTGGCCTGCGCGCTGGGATCTGGCATCCCCGCTGCCCCCCAAAGCCGCGCACCAGAGGTCACTCTTGCCCAGTGAGAAGGACGAGTATCGTGTTGGGAAGAAGGGGTTGGGAAGATACGCGGCACGACTGTGCAAGAAACACATCCAGCATACGCGGTCATACGGATGCCATGATCCTTTCTCCCGGCCCCACCCTCCCGACCCGATGGCTGTCTGTCTGACCCAGGATCACTCTTGCGGTGTAGCCCGAGACATCCGCGGGACAACTCCGCACACGCCCCCAGCACTACCCCCAACACAAACCTCCCGCGCAATCACCCAGCACAAACCCGAAGCATACCCCCCCCCAGCACACCTCCTCAGCACAACCCCCCCGAGACGTCCGCGGGACAACTCCGCACACGTAAAACAGGGCTAAGATCGGGATAAATCGCTCCAGAGCGTTCCGGAGCGCTCTCAGAGCGTTCCGGAACGCTCTGGAGCGACCGCGGCGCCCAATACATCCTCCAAACCCGCCGATTCTCAGAGATTTCGAGTCATCCCCATCCGATTTTGTCCCGATCTTCGCGTCGTTTTCACACGCCCTGGCGGGAGGCAGTCTGTGCTGCCAGGCGGCCTGCACGGCGGCCTGCCCTGCGGCCTGCGCGGCGGCCTGCGGCGCGTGCTGCGCCGCCAGCTCGGCAGCCTGCGGCGCCGGCGCGTCGGCCCGCGCGGCCTGCGGCGGGTGCTGCGCCGCCTGCGGGGCAGGCCGCGGGGCGGCCCGCTTGAACTGCGAGTCCGGGTGCCACCACCTGCGGGACTCGAGGAAACATACAGTCGGGGCCTTGACCTAAGGAACCCGAAATCAGGACCGAGGCCCCTTTTTTCCCATCAGTTCAGCCTCGATTTTCCGGTCGAAAACCTCAGGAAAACCCGAGGTAAACTTTGAAGCAAACAAGGAACATCGAGCCCCTCCCCAACGAAAAGGGTTCCTTCTTCAGGGCCCCGACTGTACCACTACCGCCACCACCACTTCCACCACCACCACCACCACCGCCACCACCGCCACCACTTCCACCACCGCCAGCACCACCACCACCACCACCACCACCGCCACCACTTCCACCACCACCACCACCACCACTCCACCACCACCGTTCTCCCCCCCTTGCGGGCAAGATGTGTATCCATATCCCCTGCGTCTTGGACTTTCTGGGAAAGGGCACCAACATGCCGAGGCGAAATGGATATGGATAAATGTCTGGCCTCTGGGGGGCAAACTTTTATTCATATATGCTGCGCCTCTGGTTTCTCTGGGGAAGGGAGCCGGAAACTCCAGGACGCAGTGGACATGGATACACATCTTGCCAGCACCTTTCCCTTCTCAAGGCTCCTCTTCCCCTCCTCGGTCCTGGGAGAAGAAGGGAGTGAAGGAGGTGGCGCTGGTGTATATGAGCATCGTGGAGTCCCATACCACCTGCGCGGGCCACACATCGCGGTGCCCTTGCCCCACTGCGCGTGCGTGCTCATGTCGAGTCGCAGGCGTGCCGCGCGCAGCACATCCTTGTCTCCTGCGGGGCTGGTCGGATGCACTTCGGCCGCCAGGCGCAAGTCATGCCAGGAAACCTGGGCACAGTCGGAGCACGGTGGCGACGAGGACAGGGGGCGAGGGGGAGTGGGGAGGAGATGATGGCGTGAGGATGGCGCTGACGGCTGATGGTGAAGACAGGAAGATGAGAATGCCTTCGATGACAGCGTGTTCTGGTGGTTGGCTGCGGTGGTGGTGGCGATTGGTCATGATAAGGCCGATGGGCATTCCGATTGGTCACTGTGGCAATGGTGATGCCGATTGGTCTTGGGCCATGTGCGCCCAAGCCGCGGGTGCGCGTCCACAGGTGCTGAGTGCGAGCGCTCGTCGACCCATGACGCGGAATCGAAGAGGAAGTGGCAGCCTGCATAAACTAGCCAGCGGAATGTGTTGAATTGCGAGGGCAAAACACTGGTGCACACCATGGGCATACTTTCGGATGCGCGTCTGCCGAAAGGCCAGAGAACATGGGCTAGTAGGGGCGGCTCGGGAATTCCACAATGCGGAAACGAGTGCTAAGCCACGCCAGGGACCCCAAAACGATTATGGATAATATGGTATGATGGCGGGCCCGCAAGATTAGTAAGGTCTGGTTTGGCGACCACCAGAAGTATTGAAGCGCAACTTGCGTTGAGAGCCGGCCAACAAGCGTGATGCGCACGTGCGAGTTTCGGGCCCGGGGGGCATGTGCTGTTTTGTGGAGCACGTTTGCAGACGCACCCAGGCCGTACACTTGGATGATATGATATCCAGGGGCTAGTTGATGCGTTTCAGGGCGTAGCAGCTATTCAAGGCCATGCCAATGCCAAATCAAATCAGTGCGTGAGGGGGGCGTAAGCAGACCGCCTGTAAGGAACAACTACGTTGAACCCATGGGCGCGAGAGCGAGGAATACGCAAATTCGTGGGCCCACCAGCAACAAAGTATGCATAGGTTTTGTGTGTGTTCCAATTATAGGGCATGCTGATCGTGATGAACGGGAATAGAACGAGAATAATACTGAGGACGAAGAGGAGGAACGGGAGATTCTGTGAGGCTTTGCGCGTCCCCACGCGATGCGCGCGTCCCAGGTTGCCGACACCGGGAACCCCGAACCACAACATGCCCTGCTTCCGACGGGTTCCCGCCGAGCTTCCGCCCATGTCCGCTGAGCTTCCGCCGGGCTTCCGCTGGCGGACATGTCGCAGTTTTGCTTCCGCCAGCCTCCGCTGAGGAAGGGAAGTCAGCTCCCACGCCCTCTCCTCCTCCTCCTCCTCCTCCTCCTCCTCCTCCTCCTCCTCGAAGGCGGGGCCCTCTTCTGGAACGCCTCGCCTGGCACGGCGCGGGCTTTGCGTGCCCCGGCGTCCCTCGGAGAGGCGCCTCTCTTTGAGGGCCTTCGTGTACGGCATCCAGTGGGCACGCACGACCTCGCAGCTGTCCTCCTGGGCCCGAGGCGGGGCAGCTGGAGAGAAGGGCGGAGGGAGGGAGGGCCAGAAACAGGGAACATGCGGAGGAGAAGGCGGAGGAGGAGGAGGACGAGGGAGGAGGAGGAGGATGAGAAGGAGGAGGCGGAGGAGGAGGAGGGGGAGGAGGAGGAGTGGGAGGAGGAGGAGGAGGAGGAGGAGGAGGAGGAGGAGGAGGAGGAGCAGGAGGAGGAGGAGGAGGAGGAGGAGGAGGAGGAGAGGGCGGGGGATTGTGGAGTCCCTCGTTGTTCCAGATGGTATTTTACGAGCTTGCAGCCTTCTCTTCACCAGTATCCTTATCCTATCTCTCTCGATATATCGATATGTGAGTATATGCACTCGTTCCTTAAGCTGCACCGCTATTCTGCCAGCCTCTTCAAAGAGAACATGCCGATGCGATACCAATATATGGCCAACCAAAACCAATGCAACGCCAATTTTGAGTTCTTTTCATTATGTGGATTTCAATGAGAAACCTTATGTGGATAATGTCATGACGAATCCTTCCTCGGAGGATTTCGATAGGAATGCTTATGTGAAGGTTTTCGACAAGAATCCTCATCTGGAGGACTTCACTCGGAATCCTTCTTGCAGGGGGTTTCAATAGGAACCCTGCTTGAGGAGGATTTCAATAGGAGTCCTTCTGCGGAGGGAGCCATGAGGACTCGCCAGCGCAATGCCAGTGCAATGCTACAGCAGTGCCAACGCAATGCCAAACCAATGCCAAGGCGACCCCAATCCAAGGCCAATGCCATGCCAATGGGGGTAATCCTTTGTGGTCGATTTCAATAGGAATCCTCCTGGGGGTTGCAACAGGAGTTCTTGTGCGAAGGGAGGCGTTGGAACTCGCCAGCGCAATGCCAGCGCAATGCCAAAGCAGTGCCAACGCAACGCCAGCGCAGTGCCAATGCGATATCAAGTCCGATGCCAATGCAATGTCGTTGGGGGCAATCCTTTGTGGTAGATTTCATAAGGAATCCTTTTCTGCAGAGGGTTTCAATCGAAATCCTTCCGCGAAGGGAGGCATAAGGACTCGCCGGCGCAATCCTAAAGCAGTGCCTACGCAATGCCAAACCAATGCCAAGGCGACCCCGATCCAATGCCAATGCCATGCCAATGGGGGTAATCCTTTGTGGTTGATTTCGATAGGAATCCTTCTGGGGTTTACACTAGGAATGCTTTTACGAAGGAAGGCATGGTAACTCGCCAGCGCAATGCCAGCGCAATGCTAAAGCAGTGCCGAAGCAATGCCAAGGCGACCTCAATCCAATGCCAATGCCATGCCAATAGGGGCAATCCTTTGTGGTTGATTTCGATAGGGATCTTCCTGGGGGTTGCAACAGGAATTCTTCTGCGAAGGGAGGCACTGGAACTCGCCAGCGCAATGCCAGCGCAATGCCAATGCAGTGCCAACGCAACGCCAGCGCAATGCCAATGCGATCTCAAATCCGATGCCAATGCAACGTCGTTGGGGGCAATCCTGTGTGGTAGATTTCATAAGGAATTCTTTCCGCGGAGGGTTCCTGTCGATCACGTCGATCAGCTCAGGCCTCGCACCCGCGAGCGAACTTGAGGAGACGCCGTCGAAGATGATCACGTAGAGGAGCCGCTCTGACAGCATGTTCACGCATCGCCGGACGTGCAGCCCGTTGGGGGCGAGGACGCACGCTGGGAGACTGGGGGAGGGCATCGTGGGCGGCAGGGCGACCGCAGGCAAGCAGGTCCAACTGCGGCCCAGGCGGCGGGCACTCGACAGCAGCTGCATGCAAAGTCGCCACAAGCGCGGGGGGAGCGCCAATGAGTTGAGTAGCGCCGCCGAGAGCTGAGCATCCGGAGCGACTGGTCCGCGACGCGCACCTCCGCGTGCGACTGCAGGTTGGACAGGATCTCGCTGCACCGAGGGAAGGCGATCAGCGCCGCGCGCAGCAGCGAAGCCGCGTCGAGGCGGGGCCATCGCACCACTCGAGGTCCGCTCCACATCTCAATCTGGGACCACGCCTCGGCCGTGAAAGTGCCGAGAGCAACTCGAAATACCTGTGATTGGCCGCCCGTCTCAATGCGAAGAGCACCCCTCGGGGGCCATCAGAATTGAGCAATGTAGGAGGGTGTCGTGACAATTCTTGAATTGTAAACGTTCGCAGACATAGATGCAAGGGCGAGGCCCAAGCTAAGAGCACGAGCCCGAAGGCGAAGTTTGGTGACCGGGTCTCTCCCGAGCCTTTCAGGATCAACAGCGGGGCCAAGCCAGACATCCAAGTATAGGATGGACCCAGCAATCTCGAACGAGGCCCAGCCAGGGACGGCGCTCTCAATGCAGTCCCGCAAGCGACACTTCAGATTGTCGCTAAAGGCTTCAGATAATGGTACCAATTTGCATGTCTGTATCTGAAATGCTAGTTACGCGAAACGGTCAGCCATCGCCATCGCATCGTGGATCTCCTTTAGATGCTGGGCGCCACGACGCGCCCCGCCAATATCATCAGCACGCGCACGAATGGCCCCAGACCCACGCGCGTCGATCCGAGGGGCCAAATCGACGACGAAGGGCGAGCAGGCAAGCGCGTAGAGCGAGCCCGATGGCGCGCGCCCTTGGGGAATCCTACTCCGGACCCAATGCAGATGCGAGTTTTCCCCCGCCACCGCAGCAATACCCTCGATAGCTGAGTATAGGAACGAGACGAAGACCAGGAAGGCGGGCGGCAGCTGGAGCGAGGAAAGGACGAGCACGAGGTAGTCCTGGTTCAGGGAAGGGAAGGCTTGGCCGAAGTCTCAGGAGAAGACGGTCGGGATGTCCTGGGGCTCGGAAGGAGGAAGGGGACATTTCCTGCTGGTGGCGCCCAGCTCCAATGCATCCAAGCCAAAGTTCCCCCCAGGGAACGACGCCCCGCTTGCAGGGGAGAACGGCGCGATCATGTGCAAGTCGCATAGAAAAGTTCATGCTGGCAGAAATTATCTTGACATCGCAATTACGCAGGCCTTGGGCGCGAACTTTGTCGGGGGAACGTGTGCACGAGCCACTCTGCAGCTCGACGTCGTCGATGATTTTTGGGGGAACGCTTGGATGGTCGCGCTCGCAGCATCAAACAGGAACTGGCCCGAGGAGACCCACTCGAGGCAGGCCCAGAGGACCTCGGGGCCAGAAGGGTCGGCCTGCCAGGCCGCATAGGGGAGCCCGTCTTCACCAGTAGGCGAGCGTCGAGCACGAGCGAGAACCGACTTCATCATCTTGAACGAGCGGGGGGCGGGAGGACGAGGCCACCGACGGGGGGGGGCAACTCGCGGATGTAGGGTGTCACCGCAGTCTTGTCCCACGCCTTCTTCGAACAAAAGACAAACAAATGCCCAGAACTCACGGAGGCACATGGGCCTCTCCCCGGGTGTAGACGCAGGCGAGAGATTCGCGGCAGTGACTGCGGCGGGCGAGGCCCGACTGTTGAGTGGAGGCCAAATCCTCGCGCGCCTCTCCAACGCCTGCAGCTGGGCCCTAAACTGTGGTGACTCGCCATTGGCCTCGCGCTGCTTGCGAAGCTCGGCGCGCGCAGCATCCGCCTTTCACACTGAACTCGATTAGACCGGGCCAAGAAAGATCCGGGGTGACGCAATCGCACCGCGCCACGCTCAACCACCGGGAAGTCGGACGCCACGTGATGAGAGCGGAGTAGTAGTTCCCCAAGAACAACATCATGCCTCCACACACACACACACACCGAGCGATCGAACGTGCAAGCTGCAGAAGAGCACGAGGATGGCGGGGATGAACACGAAAGAGACGATCACGAGTCTCCCCAGCAGAGATGCGAACCAGCTCTTTGCGCCGCTCGAGGCGACGAGGTGGGGGGGGACGAGGTAGGTGACGACGGAACGAGTCCTGGAACGCACGACGGTCGACCGGCTGCTTGTCGCTGGGACGGGGGCGCCTCGGCGAGATAGCGAGAACAACTGCCGCATGGTCCGACGCGAGGGTATCCGATACCTCAGCGGCCGCGCCGATAGTGTTAGCCTGGAGGAATAACTGGCATACCATCCACCCAGGGCACGAGAGGAATAGACGATCGATGCGCGATTCAGAGTTGCTGGATTTTTCGTAGTGGGCGGGCGCAGTGCACTGCACCTCCATCAATTCGGCAAGCGCGGGACGCCAGGTGGGCGCCTGCGCGCGGTGCCGCCGAGCAGCGCGGTGGACCGCAGCCTGCGGCATATGCAGAACCGCGGCCTCCTGCGACGCGAAGTTGAAGTCCCCGTTGACGATGGCGAGGCGCTTGGTGGGATCCCTGGCCGCAAAGGCCCGAGCACCGCGGATGGCCCGCGCCGCCGCCGCGATCTGCATAGCCGTGAGCTCGTGGTTGTGAACATTGACGATGTCGAGCTGGATGTCCGCGATCTCGACCATTATGAAGATGACGCGCCCAGCCACCAATGGGACAGCACGACTCTGAGCCGGGTGGCCACCCACAGCGCCAGGAGCAGGTAGGAGGACCGCCACGCCACCACGAACACGTCCCTCGGGGGTGTCGCCACAAAATGAGGCGTGAATAGTGACCGTTGGGTCGATACCCCGTATGAATTCACTGAATTGTCCAGAATTTGCCGGACCTCCTGAAAAGAGACAATACTCTTGCCGATGCTCAGCTTCTCAACGTACCTCCTCTTGAGTGCGGCCTTAGCCCCGGCCGCTTGCAAGAGGGCCCTGCCATTCCAAGTCACTACACGTGGCGGGGGGATAGCGGCGCCAGGTACAGGAGTAGAGCATTTGAACAGCTTCGCAACATCAAAGACACCACTGGGGCTTAGCTTGCGGCGCCACGAGGTGGCGCGTGAGCTGCGCGAGGTCGTTCTTGCACAGGTTGTGCTTCTGCAGAGCCGCAGGGCCCTGCGTGATGGTAGGCAACTTCGACCCGAAGGATCTTGTCCCAACCGACCGAAAGCGTGCCGCGGTCGCGGCCGCTGAAAAGACGAAGGCTGGGATGGGCCTCGGCGATGGTGGAGCGAAAGCGGCGGAGAAGCATCTCGGTCTTGATCTGGCGAGGTTTCTTGTCGGGACCGAAGTGCATGCGCGCCCGAGGGGCGCCTGGCACTTCCACGTGGAACTCTTTCCACGCACCATCCACACGTAAACGAGAAAGAACGCGAAGAATCTTGCGCGAAGCGACGGCGACGAGCCCGCCGAATTGGAGGATGAACTTCTTGCAGGGCGCCTGCCCCGCTGGGGAGATGTCGTAGTCGGTCTCGGGGAAGCCAAGCTCGCCCAGCCACTCCGCGAGCGCCGCGCACTCGAGCTGCTTCGTAGTAGCTGCTTGGCACACGATGATGACTACAGTGGCGTCGACATCACGCTCGAAGCCCTGCGGAACGGCGAGCGTGGCCTGAGGACGCTTCTCGGCGATGGCGAGCTGGTCGCGGAGCTCGCGCATATGTTTCTGGAGCTCACCCACATCACCCTCGACCGACGCGATACGACCACCATGATCTTGAAGGGCGCCTGTGCACACATCAATCTGCTCCTGGAACCGACGGGAGGCGTCGTCAACGTTGCGGCGAACCACCCCAAGAATCTGCTGATCGAGCGCTGCACGTTGACCAGCGAGCTCACTCCGAAGTTGGCCGGCGAGGGCAAGCTTTTTCCCATTGGCCGTGGCCACATTGTCGGTGACACACACACACACACACACACACACACACCATGACGGAGTTCGCCAACTCCTCCTTGACGCCCTCCAAGAGAATCGGGGAGAGATCCATACACACCTGGCGGACATAGTCGTCCGACATATACGCATCCTCGGTCTCCTGATCGCAATCATCATCAGCAACAGCACGTTTGCAGGGAACGAACTTGCCAAAACTACTCGCAGGAAAAAAAAACACCAGGAGGAGCAGCACTACGCCCACCCTTGCCCGCACCGCCAATTGGCGCGGGCGGAGTCATGTGAGCCGAAGGTGTGACAGACCTCGATGGCGGCGGCGTCCTGGGTCAAGAGCTGGCGGTCAGCTGTGGCGGCCATGGCTGTGATACTTGCTGCGATCGGACCGACGGGAACGGGAACCGCATCCGTTTACCCACCGACCCAAGCGCAGGGAAGGTTGACGAGACAGAGCGCCAGACTTCAAGAAGTCTTGCCAACCGCGGACTAGCGGTATCCGCTTGGTTCCCAGGGGACACCTGCATCTTGAGCCAAAACGGCTACGGAGGAGGAGGAGGAGGAGGAGGAGAGGGCGGAGAAGGCGCGGAGGCGGAAGGGAGGAGGAGGTGACGGGGGAGGAGAGGGCGGAGCAGGCGAGGAGGGGAGGAGGGAGGGGGGAGAGGAGGAAGAGAAAGCGGAGAAGTAGGGGAGGGAAGGGGAGGGAGGGAGAATGGAGGGGGAGGGAAGAGGGGGTAGGAAGGCGGTGCAGTTGGAAAAGAAGGAGCTGTCTAGAAGGCCATCGGCGGATTTGTACAGCCCGGCGACTTTTGTACAAAAAGCTGGCCTGGACCCCCAAACCAAGCCATAATGCGGCCGTCGTCGGCATATAACCTGCCACCTCCCCCTGGTCAGTCCGCTTTCGAAGCGGTCGCGGCCAGGCCAGAGAAGCGAGGGCCGGAAGAAACCTTCAGGGAAGGAGGCAAGGCCCAGAAGCTGGAGGGCCGAATGGGCAGAAGGCAGACAGGCTGAGCGGCTGAAAGGCTAGAAGCCAACAGTGACAGACGGCTGACGGGTAAACGTGCTGACTCCCTCCCCTTCCTCTCCCCCTCCCCCTCCCCCTCCCCCTCCTCCTCCTCCTCCTCCTCCTCCTCCTCCTCCTCCTCCTCCTCCTCCTCCTCCTCCTCCTCCTCCTCCTCCCCTCCTTCCTCCTCCTCCCCTCCTCCTCCCTCCTCCTCCCTCCTCCTCCTCCTCCTCCTCCTCCTCCCCTCACCCTCCTCCTCCTCCCCCTCCTCCTCCTCTTCCTCCTCCTCCTCCTCCTCCTGCTGACCTCCCCCCTGCGCCAATCCACCCCCCTTTGTAGGAAGCCCGCCACGTTCGCGATGCCGCGCCTCAGTTCGTGAGGCCGCCCTCCTGCTGCGGACGCTCCCTTAACGCGGTCAGACATTCGGGGGTCCGCGCTGCGAAATAAATCACGACGTCGGATGTCCTCCTCCTCCTCCTCCTCCTCTTCCTCCTCCTCCTCCTGACTTCCCCCATGTGCCGATCCCCCCCTTTGTAGGAAGCCCGCCACGTTCACGATGCTGCGCCTCAGTTCGTGAGGCCGCCCTCCTGTTGCGGACGCTCCCTTAACGCGGTCTCGCGGAGCCCGTCTGAGCAACGAGAGCAGGCGGGTCTTACGTACAGTCGGGGCCTTGACCTAAGGAACCCAAAATCCGCCGGCCCCCTTGTGGGGCCACCAGGCTGTAGGCGCGGGTTCGCAGTTTCCAGTACCAGTTGTAGCTTGTAGTTTCCAGTGTTACAATTCTGCTTCTTGCTGGTTACTGTAACTAGTTGATTGACCGCGCGAGGGGGGGGGAGGCCCAAACAGGATTTTTAGCCTCACCTGGGCGCGTTGTCTGAATTGCTGGGGGGGCTCGAAATCGACACCCCTCACGCAGATCCGCGGGGTCAGGGTCCAAAAACACACGGGATTTGCCACATTTCTGAAATTCGGTGCCACCCCTCACGCAGATCCGCGGGGTCAGGGTCCAAAAACACATGGGATTTGCCACATTTCTGAAATTCGGTGCCACCCCTCACGCAGATCCGCGGGGTCAGGGTCCAAAAACACAGGGGATTTGCCACATTTCTGAAATTCGGTGCCACCCCTCACGCAGATCCGCGGGGTCAGGGTCCAAAAACACATGGGATTTGCCACATTTCTGAAATTCGGTGCCACCCCTCACGCAGATCCGCGGGGTCAGGGTCCAAAAACACATGGGATTTGCCACATTTCTGAAATTCGGTGCCACCCCTCACGCAGATCCGCGGGGTCAGGGTCCAAAAACACAGGGATTTGCCACATTTCTGAAATTCGGTGCCACCCCTCACGCAGATCCGCGGGGTCAGGGTCCAAAAACACAGGGGATTTGCCACATTTCTGAAATTCGGTGCCACCCCTCACGCAGATCCGCGGGGTCAGGGTCCAAAAACACAGGGGATTTGCCACATTTCTGAAATTCGGTGCCACCCTCACGCACATCCATCGCAAGGCGTGGTAACCCAAACTGCGAGAACTCCCTCGGCCCTTTAATCGCAAGGTGTGGTAACCAAGCCCGTAAACCATACACGTCTTACCAATCGCCAGGTGTGGTAACCCCTCTTGTGATCAGTTGGTTTTGCTGATTGCGAATCGGCTTCGCATGAAGTTTCGATACTGCTTCACGACAGCGCCAAGGCCTCATGACTTAGCTCTTCCATGGCCGATTCTCCGAGAGAGGGGGCCGGCGGCAGGGGGCGAAGCCCTTACGGATAAGGAACGAGGCCCCTTTTTTTCCATAAGTTAACCTTCGAATTCCGATCGAAAAAAAAAGCAAGACCTGAGGCAAGCTGCGAAACACTTAAGGAACGCGGAGCCCCTCCCCAACGAAAAGGGTTCCTTCTTCAGGGCCCCGACTGTACGGACGCTCCCTTAACGCGGTCTCGCGGAACCCGTTTGAGCAACGAGAGCAAGCGGGTCCTACGTAAAAAGGCATAGCGACCTTACGCGGTGTCTTACGCGGGCCGCCAGCGCTGCACGCTACATTGGAGACGAGGGCGCTCAGACGCGGCCTTACGCAGAAAGCTTACGCGCAAACGTTGGCGCAATCAACCACTTCTTCTTCTTCTTCCGTCGCTCATGTGGATTCATGTGCAGTCAAAAGTGATGGTAAGGATGCACGGTAATGATGCAAGGGCCTTGGACGCCCAGGCCCACATTTTTCGAACGGGGCTGGCCATCGAAAGTGTTAAGGATGGCCCGAGGATGACCCGAGAGGCAAGGATGCAAGGGTACCCTGGGAAAGTCGTTCATCCTTTCTCTCGGTGCTGCCTGTACGCGCACGTCCTCATTTCGCTGCTCCTGACTTTCGCCCCGCTGATCCGCATGGCGGGGCCACGGGTCCTCCGTGCCGTCGCCCCTCGGCTCCCTCTCCTCGTCCGGCTCGTCCTCTCGAAGCCCCCAGCTCGTCTCCCGGAAGTCGTGCTCGATGCCCCACTGGAGGCGGCTTTGGGTAATTTAGTCCTTTCCCATTTCCTCCACCTCCTGTTTTCCGTCCTCGTCCTTACTTACGCAGCGCCAAGGCGCGATCCTTGGCTTCAAGACCTGAAAACGCTGGCCGACGGCCTGCGCCGCGTTCCCCGGCACCCCCGGCGCCCATGTTTGAAGCTGGGCCCTCCCGCAACGAGTGCCGGCCGTCCTCGCACGCGCAGGTCCCAATGTAAATGATGATGTGCGCCTGTTCCCCCACTTGTGCCACAGCAAGGTGTGCTTCCTGGTTGTTCACGACGCCCGTGATGCGGCCCCATCGCCGGGCGAGCCAGCGCGGCAGGTGCACCACAGTGCAACAAAAAGAAACTGCGTGGGGGGGGGGCGGGGGTTAGCAGCAATCACGGTCGCGGGCATTGGTGTGAAGCGCTGCTCCTGGGCCACCCCTTGCTCGCCTCCGCTTGGCCAAGTCTGGCCATCGCTCGGACGTCCATTTCCGGTGTTTTTTTTCAATTTCGTGCGTGTTTTTTTCGCCAAATGGTCGAGGATGCTCCTCGAAGGTCCTCGCCGAGGAAAAAATGCACACGTCCGAGCGATGCCAGGGTCGGTGCAGTGGTGGCGATCTGGACCGCCTCTCTGGTTGCGTATCTCACGACACCGTACCCCAGCGTCTGCCGTAAGCCGTGGCGTCATCTGTGATCGCGCTGCAGTGATCCACAGCGCCCGCCTGCTTCATGTGGTCCTCGAGGATGCGCGTAGGGGGGGTAGCTGCCGAAGCCCCTCCCATTTGCAAGGGGAAGCTCACCCCGGCTTCGAAAAGAGGGGGAGTGGGGAGGGGGAGCTTCCGACGCTCACCTCAAAGGGGGGGGGGCCAGCTTCCCAAAGGGAACGGGGGGGACTTCGAAGGCCTCCTCCCTCCTTTCGGACTGAAGGGACTGGCCCCCCCCCCTTTTTGTCATCCCCGTCTCCCGGAGCACGCTCTTTCACGGGCATGTGAAGATACATGCGAATATATGCAAATATCAGTTATACATATAATATACATATATATGATCCCGTAACATCCCGTGCCAGGACGTGCAAAGGCGAAGCCTCAAGATATGCAAGCAGACAGTTGCCATCTTTTCAGCAGCACAGTGCACAATGTTACTGAGCTCTCCGCCTGGGCACACAACGAGGCAAACAGTACACATCAGCAATCAAATCACTCCCAACCGGAGAGGTTCGTTCCGCTTTAGCGAGAGTTGTGAAACAACTGAAAGGCAACCCTGCTTCACAGGGTTGAGGGTGGTTAGCGGGCAGGAGACTTGAGCCGTAACACTATGATACGGCATTCCCTTCAAGCTTTATCATAGCTCGTGCACTTTACAATGATCCCGCAACATCCCGTGCCAGGACGTGCAAAGGCGAAGCCTCAAGATATGCAAGCAGACAGTTGCCATCTTTTCAGCAGCACAGAGCACAATGTTACTGAGCTCTCCGCCTGGGCACACAACGAGGCAAACAGTACACATCAGCAGTCCAGTGGCGACGAGTTGCGGGATCGTGAGACATGTTCGAGCAATCAAATCACTCCCATACCCACATTCACTTGTGCCCTATGGAGTGTCTAAAAACATGTGTTAATCTAGACCCAAAAGACGGGGCCCGAGGCTGTGCATATACTGTTCAGTTAAATGGGCGACCAGGGAGCGAGCTAAAACATTACACAGGGGGGCGGGATAGGCCTGAGCCCTTCTAGTACGGAAGTTACCCTCGGCGTCCTTACTCATGAGCTGTATGCGGCTATGCCCCGTAGCAGAACAGCGCCCCCCTGTCCCAGAACATCTTTTGAAATCGATCAGCGAGTTACAATTGATAACCAGGAAGCATGTAGGTTTTTTTCCACTGGGTTCCATATTGACAGCAATGCGCCTCGAGCAGACGTGCCCCAAACTTGCGCATAAGAGAAGTGACCTGCTTGGTAAGCCAGACCCTGGACGAAAGCGGGTTCTCGAGCACCACGGGGGCCCCGATGGAGGCCAGCTGACAGATCGTGCGGAAGGTGGTGACCCAAAGCCTGTTGCCTAGCTGGACCCTGTCGCGATCCCTTTTTGAGAGTTCCGGGAGACCCCGGAGGTGTTCACGATCGCCCCGAAGAGGTCCTGGCCCCCGACCATCGCTTTTTCGGGCCCGGGCCCAGGTCTGGCAGGGGAGGGCAGCAAGCAGGGCAAGGGCTCTGCCCGACTTAAAATCCTGGACGAGCCTGCGTCTGTTGGCGGTCCTCAGTATATCCGCGCCGAGCCCGTCGATCACGCCCCAAGCTTCCGCTTCGACCCCATGGGCGGCAACTGCCCTCGAGAAGCCGGCTTCACCAGAGAAGAGCTCGACGATTTTCTGGCCCTCGAAGAGCGCGCGGATCGGGCGAAGTGCGGCATGCCTGACCGGAGCTGGGCCTCGAGGTTGACCAGACGCGTGGCGGCGCGGCTCTGTGTCGCCTCGGAGACCAGCTTCTCTTGGAGCTGGAGCCTGCCGTGCGCCTCGTAGCGTCGGACCGACCGATCGCCCCTCCAGCGACCTCTGTCCTTTACCTCTGCCTTCGAGCGGAGACGGTTCAGGATGTCGTGCGAGGGCCCGCCGTGACGCAACTGGTATAGGTCGGGCTTGAGGGCGGCCAGTCCTGCGGTCCTGGCAGCAGTCTTGAAACTCTCGTTGAAGCTCCGGTTTTCGAAGTCGAACAGTGCTGGCCCTGCAGCCGCGCCCCGGTGCGCGTCCAGAAGGTATCCGAGGAACGGGGGAGCCGACGAGTCCAACAGCAGCGTCTCGTCGTACAGGCCAACTTTGCTGGGCTGGCCCCGCTCCGCGCGACGCAAGTGAATCGCGTAGCACGGGCTGCCCTTGGTCGGCGCGAGCACGTCCGTCACCTGAAGCGAGAGGAGCTCGATCGGCCTCAGGTAGGCCGAGAACAGGAGCATCACCGCCAGTGCCATGCTGACGAGGTTCATGCCGACGAGCTCCACCGCGATCAGCGCCGCGAGCGCCAGTGGCAGCGGCGGCCTGGTCCTGCCTGGGTCGAGCCTGTTGAACCCCTGCAGCGCCTTCATGGTCCGCACCAGTTTGTCGGGGCCCCTCTTGGAGAAGGACGGGCGGAGCTTGACCCAGGCCGCGTAGGTGCCCGTTGCCTCGCCGATGTCCGCGCCCACGATCCACATCTGGTTCAGGTAGTGGACCAGCGCGCAGTCCACCAGCTTGGCAGAGGTGAGCCTGAGCCCCCCGGCATCCGCCCAGCTCTCGAAGTCGGCGACCCTCTTCACATGCATGGCGTGGGTCCGCTCGGTGACGGCGTTCGCCTCCAGGAACGTCTCGACGTGCGACTCCGACGAGTTCGACGCCTTGATCCCGATGGAGCCGACCAGCTCGCGCCTGAGCTGCGCCCGAGCCTGCTTGTTGGGCGCTCCTCGAGCCAGGCGCTGCTTCTCCTGTGCTCCCAGCGTGCGGGCTCAGCGCGCTGCAGCGGCTGTCGGACGCCGCGGAGGCGGCCTCGCCGGCGCCGCCCTGAGGCCGCGGGCCGCGTGGCTGGAAGCCCGCCCAGTGGACGGGAGGGGGCAGTCCTGGCGGAGGTCGTGGCACGGTAAGCTGCGCCCCAGCACCCGCGGCGCCGGTCGGTAAAGTGCGCCTTGAGGAAGGAGACCCCTCCCCATGTTTGAGCCTAAGGTGCTCCCACAGACGGGGCCCCTTGTCCACTGGGTTTCGCTCCGAGGGTATCCAGCGATGGTGAGCGCGTGCTGATGTGGCGAGCTCCAGGGCACAATCTCCTGCAGCAAACCAATCGCGTGAAGTTCTTCATTCGGCCCTTCTCCTGCCCCAAGACATTGCCTAGGTTGTCTCCCAGATGAAGGTGATGAGAACGAAAGCCTCCAGAGGACCTCAGGGTGCGTTTTACGCCAGAGACCGCGGCCCGAGACTCCAGATCCCCGATGCCCTCCTTGAACACAAAGGGCGCCGCATAGCTAGTCTTCCACATGGAGTCCTGCAGGAGGACCTCGGGGATCTCTTTGAATAGGAAGGTGGGCTCGTAAGGGGAGGGCTCGAAGCGGTCGACGATGGGCTTCACCGTCTCGAGGTCCTAGAACGGGTCGAGGGCCCCCAGAGCGGCACGACGCGGCGCGGAAGACGGCACGGCACAGCGATAGCGAAACCTCTCGCGAGCACCTCCAGCCTCCATCACATCCGAGACATTCCAGAGAGACTTGCCCACGGCGTACCCGGACAGCGAAGCATCTGTAGCTTTCACCTGCGGAATCCACGGCATCCTGAGGTCCGCCCAAGCGAGCGGCAGCAGCACAGATATCCACTTACACTCCAGCGCGGCGGAATGCCAGAGACGCCTCTTGCGGCTCCAGTTCTCGTGCGTGAACTGATGCAGGGCATTAGACAGCGAGAACATGGAGCGGGTGAGGAGGAATATCGGCGCGACGTAACCGAGAGCCTTACTAATTTGCCAGCCTGTGACGCGAGGTCTTCTCCTGAGATGAGTGAACGCTGCCACGGCCTTCTCAAGCCGATGCGGGATCGGAAAGACCCCCCCCCCGCGTTTTCCATCAACAAGGTAGCCCAGGGACTCGAAAAAGGTTGTTACCTCCACCTCTTCATGAACCTGGAAGCCCGCACGTCTGAGCTGATCGACTGCCAACATCTTAACATTACTGACAGAGTCCTTGTCTGTGCCCATGACAATCAGGTTGTCGCAATAGGGGGGGACCACGGGAACCTTACAAGATAAATCCGGAGTGGGAGCGTCTTCTTCGAGAAGTCGGTCAGAGCCCAGTTGGGTACCCAATAAGACCTGATGAGAGTGAGCCCTCTGTGCGAACCAGAATGCCCAGGGCCAGCCCTGAGGACAGACACGCACGACAGGATACACGCGCCCAGGAAGGCCAGCCCGAGAAGACTCATGTCCAGGAAGAGCGCTCCAAGAAATGACGTTGGCAGCACTAACAGTTGGCAGGCCAAAGTACTTTCGGAGCCCGTGCGGCAGCACGAGCCAGTAGAAAAAGTTGCTGACATCCGACAGAGCACCGTGCAAAACTTGGCCTTGCGGAGCCTGCAAGCGAGAGAGGACGGCCCCCGTCGCAATCCTCATCCGAGGCGGCGCTCTGCATCTACGGTTCGGACTCCTGCAGTCCAAGACCACGCGCAGAGCAACACCTTTCTTGTCGACAAAGAATGGAGTGATGTGATCCTCGACCTCAAACGAAAACTCAACGATACCCGCGTGATACAAGTCTTTCACAAAACCTTCGTATGCAATCTGATCAGCTCGTAAGACCTCATCGAAGTAGGGGGTGACATGAGGAGAGGTCTCGATCACTTTCCCCCACTCCTGTGGGGTCTTCAGCATGCGGTCGGCCCCCTCGATTAAAACCTGGCGCCCCTCCTGGTCGAGAACATCCTCGAGCCTGGGCGCCCTTGCGCCCGACTGAGGAAGAGACGCGGGGGCAGTGCGAAAGGGTCGGACGCGGCTCGCAACCTCCTCCGAAGCGTAGGAGAGGTCTGTGCGCATGACCTCACGGAAGGCGTCATGCGGAAAAGGTACAGGTTTACCGCTGCCAGGCACAGAAGCTAGCTTGCTCAGTACCTGATGGTGAGCCTCCTCCTGGGCGAGGTTGGGGGCGAGGTCCGTGGAGCCGACCCCGTACAACTCATTGAGGGCATTGCACGCCGTCGTCGCTTCTTGCGCACGCCGCTCACGACGCCGGAGGGATCGATCTGAAGCCAAAACTTGCTCAGGCACCTCATGTCCTGCATCAACTGGAGGCAAAGGAAAAAGATCGCGTGGCCGATCGCCTGCGACCGCCTGACCATGTCGATGAGCATGAAAAGGCCCAAGCACCTGTGGAGCGCGAGCTTGATGAAGTCGAGGCTGTAAGACATCACCACCGCGCTGGCCTGGGAGATCTCCTGGGAGTCGGCCACACTGCCCAGGAGGGAGGGGGCTCATCCCTCCTCGCCCGCGGGGCCCAGCCCGCCCCCGCCGCGACCACGGCCTTTGCCGCGTCCACGACTCCGGGCCTGCTGCTCCGGGCTTTTCTGCTCTCCTTCGCGATGGCCGCCTGGTCCTTCAGCTGGTTCGCCACGTACTGGGCCAGCGCAGGATTGGTGCCGCCTCCTGCCGTCTGGGGCCCCCAGCTCATGAGCACATCTCCAGCAGAGTAATCAGGATTGGATGGCGCGGCCCTGTGGGCCTCCTTGATGAGGGCCATGCGGCGGCACACCAACTCGGCCCACTTCAGAGCCGGCAAGTTGAATTGGTCGTAGGTGGCCGCCGCGTCCAATATCCTGCACAGAACCTGATGTTCATACACCGAACGATCGCCCTCTGGGATGCGGGAAGATCGAACCCACCTCTCATGGTGAGCGTTCGGGCTCGCATCATCATCTCGGATCTGCTTCAGCTGCCAGAACGTGGTAGGCGGACCGTCGAGGCCGAGACCGCCGCGCGGAGGCGCAGGGCCCATGGCCGCCACCGCGTCCGCGAAGCCGACCTTGCGCTCACCCGACGCGTCCGTGACGACTGGCAGCACCCTGAGATCGTCATGCACGAATCGGTATATATCAGCCTCCGCCGTGCGCTGCACGAACAGGTGTCCGTTCCCGTACTGGATGATGGCCTTGTCACCGAGGGTCACTCCGTGATCGGGCAGCGTTGGTATCTGGGTCCCCTTCGCGATGTTCAGGGTGCCCTCGGCCGCGACCCACGCGAGCGGGGGGCCAGCCTGCGCCGCGGCGCCAGCGGGCCCGGGCGCCGCGGCCGCCGCAGCAGCCGCACCTGGGACAGCCGCGCCGCCTGCCACCGCAGGCGGGGGCGCAGCGGGGCCGAGGTGAGCTCCCAGCGGGGGGGCCGCAGCCACCAGTGCCCCAGGCGGCGGGGCCGCTGGCCCCAGCGGCGGATGCCACGCGGCGGGGGCAGCGCCAGGTGGGCCCACAACAGGCACCACAGGCCCTGGCGGAACTGGAACCCCTGCCTGAAGAGCACCATCCGCCACGTGCTGGATCATCTCGGCAGCCGTCGGCACGACACGAAACCGATACACACTTGCTATGGGAATGTCTGGGGGCGACACCCCTGGGGCGCTCCGAAACTCAGCAATATCGAGAATATCTGGACGAAGCTCTTCCACAAAAATGTCGCCGTCGAGCGTTAGCACTGCGAAGTGGCCTGGCGGATTGCCAACAGCGAGAATGAGCCGCTCATGCCAGAGCGGCGGGCCAGGCAGGTCATACCTGACCAGCACCACATCACCGGGCGCCACCATTGCGCTGACGTATGATGGCGAGCTGCTTCAGCGCCAGATCCCGCGTAGCAGCGTCGTCCACGACGGCCTCGGGCTCGGGGCGCCTGAACACGAACGTGGTCAGCCAGCCGCCGCAGCGACCAATGGGACCTGTGCAAGTCAGGACTCCAAATCCCACGAGGAGGCCCGCGACGAAACCGAAGATGCCAGACCAGCCCGCTCCCTCGGCGACCTGCGGGGTCACTGACGGACAAGAGAAAGTCGGACAAGTGATATTGATCGACGGCGTCGAACAAGTGACTGTCGGACAGGTGACCACGCAGTCAGGGCAAGGCGGGCACTGACGCGAGCCCAGGCCCCAAATGATCGCAAGATCGGCGGCCTTGGTAGCGACTAGCTGGGCGGGCCAACCGACCATGAGAACAGACTTGGGCCGTAACATTATGATACGGCACTCCCTTCAAGCTTTATCATAGCTCGTGAACTTTACAATATATATATATATATATATATATATATATATATATATATATATATATATATCACACATATATATATGTATATATCAGAATGAGGGGGCGAAGCGGTCATTCATGCTCCAGGCGTGGCTGAATTGAGAATCCGCGGTGAGGATTATGTTGGTTGCGTTGTTGTTGTGGTTGCTGTTGTTGTTGTGATTGTGGTTGTGGCTGTGGTTGTGGTTGTGGTTGTTGTTGTTGTTGCTGCTGCTGCTGCTGTTGTGGTTGTTGTTGTTGTTGTTGCTGTTGTTGCTTGTTGTCGTCGCCCCCCCCGCGTCGCGCCACCCGCTCGTGAAACCTAGATTTGGCCGTGTTCCCTGGACCTGGGAGTATAAGTCGCTGTGCTGTTGCGTCGCTTTTGCCAGAGTATTTAGATCTGCCCACCATTGCTTTGCCCACGGAGTGCTGCGCTCGTGAACCTTGCCCGCGTTGTCTCAACGGCGGCGCGTGACGCAGTCATCCAATCTCGTGGTTCCGAAAACCCCCATGAGTGCTTGCTCGTGATTCGCGGGGCCCCTGACGATTGCCCTGGTCCACCTCAAACGTGGCAGCTGGAGCTCGACGGCAGTGGGCGATATGTCCCAGAAGGAGAAGACCGTCCTGGAAGGCATGCGGCGAGAGCGGCCGTCGTCTGCCGTGACCGCCGGTCTGCCTTTCACCAGTCCCCGAAGCATTCTTACGATCACGCTGTCCAATCGATCAGTGCAATCTTCAGGTAGCACAAATGCTGACAGTCCAGATATAGCTGCCGAGTACACAAAGCATAAGAAGAGCATCCGCTTCAGCCTGTGCGGCAGCGGCAGGTACCAGGTGTGTCCTAGCGGTCGCCATTCAGCACGCGCTGCTTTAATTATGTTCCTCCACTCCGTGCGCAGCACGCCGTCGAAGGGAAGGATCGGGCCGAGGAGCCTTGTCTCACGGTCGACAGTGCCCTTCACCACAGACTGCACGCACATCTGCTTGATGCATGCAAAAGCCCCCTGCCCGACGATATTCACGATGTGTACTGTTTCATGCTTGTTTAGATGCTGCCCTGTATTAAGTACTTGCTCTTGCAGTAGATCAGTTGCATGATTCAGTTGTGCTGCTATGTGTTGTGCTGCTAGCTTGCATGCGTGAACGCGCATGCGTGAGACATCGCCGGCGAACGCGTCAGAGTCAAACCCTTTTGTCGACCACCTTCCGGAATATTACGCTGCGCCCAGCGAAAAGCTGGTAAGTGAAATCCCCCTGTCGCAATTTGTCACACCACGTCTCAATCCCTGGGGTGAAGACGTCCACGAAATCAGCTGCAACCCAAGAGTGTCCTATGGCGGTCCCACGATCGGCCCGGTAGTCCTGCTCCCCGCCCATAGCTTTCACGTGCGCGGTGGCATGCTCGATCGCCGCGCGCATGTACGACTGCTGCTCTGGCTGTGCTGCACTGCTGTGCAATGCGCGCAGACATTCCCGATTCGTGGAAGCGAACGCGTTCGAGCTGTCGCGATTCGCCAATGCGTGCGACACTCGTGCATCTCTACAACGCCATACTGCTGAGGAAAGGGCGAGCACCCTCACGACGACGACCTCGGAGACCCCCGTGTGCGAAATCCTTCGGTGTGGGTCTCTTCGTGCGCTTCAGGAGCTGTCCGCAAAAACTCATGCCGAACGCGTCGTAACAATGCAATATGCGCTGCCTTTATATACCGCGTGAGCCATTCTGCTTGGGCTGGAAGAAAGCGCGCGGCCGCGCTGTGCTCGCGGGCATGAGCTGTACCACGCGGATAAGGGTGAGGAGATCGTCATACCTGCGGGAGAATGAGCGAGGGATGCAGAAGTGCGTGCCGTTGTCGTTGGAGTACATCTCCTTGTCCATGGCGATCAGCAGCGCCTCAGAAGTGACCCCCCAGGCTGGGCATACGCGCCTCTTGGGGGCATGCCGAAGATATTTTATCGGACCTTGCCGATCGGAATTGGCCTGGGCTACTGCAAAACCTGGCGGTGCCAACTTGGGTAAAAATTGATAATCAGCTGCCAGCTCTGTCCGCCGTCTTCAGCTTGCTCGGCGAATCCTTTTGCGGCGGCGTCCGGCGCCATGCTTTCTTTTGCCCCAAAATTGGAACGCTTCTTCGGGCATCGAGCAGTGCCTGAAAGTGAAGTCCTCAAACTACGTACTTGTGACCAATCGCGTTTTTCCAAGCCCTCGAAAGTTCTTCAGCGGTCTCGGCGCGCCTCTCCAATGTGCATCGCCGTCGTGCTCATTGAAGTTCGCGAAAAATGGCGCCCAGTCGTTCACATACTGCGTCGTATTCAGATTGCTGGAGACTTGATTCGCTAAACGCCTTGCTTGGGCCATGCCCCCGTTTTTCACGTGAAACTGCTCATCTCCGCATTGAATCCATCCGCCCCTTTCGCGCGTGCTCGCACTTCTGAAACTCATGCTCGCCACGAGGAAAAATCTTCACTGAGATTTTTTTGAATGCACTCTCGCAATAAATCCCAGCCGGTTTGCGCGTCGCCTCGGCCCCACATTCCCCTCCAAGTGTCTTCGGGGATTTCTTCGGTGTTCCGCTCAATCTCTTTCAAGTAGTCTGTGCGCAAGTGCCCGTGCACGTAGGCCCCCATAAAAGAATCTCGATTAATTCGAGGATGATGAGAACCTTTGTGCCCATGCTTCCCATGAGTGTCAATCTCAAGCATCAGCGGCACGTGGCCCTGCGGCACCTCGGTTTCCCGTCGCTGCAACCGTCGGCCGAGCTGCTTTAGCGCGCGCATCGAGGAGCAGGAAAGTAAGAACGCGAACGCTCGAGGCAACCCTAAGCGAAAGCGCCGTTCCTGCAGGAAGTCCCGGGCGGGAGCTCACGACGGGCGGGTCGGGCGGGTGGGGCATTCAAGCGGGATGCCTGAGCATGGCGAGAGCGCAATTCCCAAGTAAATTGCGGCGGCGTCCTCGGCGCAGCGCGTTTCCCGAGCGTCGAAAGCGCGATGTCTGAATGCATTGCATGGAAATCGCAGGCGATAGCGCAATGCCTGAATCAAATGTGAGGGGTTCTCTGGGGGGAGCGGGGGTCCTAACTAAATTGCGACGAAATCTGAACTAAATTGCGAGGAAGTCTCATGCGGGAACGCCGTTCCTGAGCACATTGCGAGGAAGTCTCAGATGGGAAAGGGGCTTCCTGACTAACTCGCGAGAATGTCACAGGCGGGAGCACTGACCCTGAGTAAATTGCGAGGAACTCCCCGGCGGGCGCGGGGCGCCCTGAGAAAATTTGGAGAAAGTGTCAGAAGGGGGCCGTTGTTATCGCAATCCGGGGGGCCAAGGGCACAGTTTGAGCATCGAGATTTCCTTTGTCAGCAAAAAACAAGGTGCGAGCGTCGAGGGCGCGCTCTGATTAAGAAAGAACAGCATGCGCCGGTGATGGGGGGGGGCAACAGTGATTATCCTTCAGAAATGAGAATTCAAAACAACTAAAACAACAGCAACAGCAACAATGCAACAAACGCATTTCTGACCACGAATTCCTTTTTTTCAGCCACGCACCCAGAGGCAATGAATGACCGTTCGGCCCCCTCACTCTGATAATATACACATTCGCCAGCATCGACGACAGCGACCACCCTGTCCACGAGAGCAACCCTCGCAGGAGTCAGGACTGGCACATGCATCCGAGGGGTGCGCATCGCGCTGGGCTTGTGGCCCGGCGCCAGCAAGGAGGGCCCAGACGGCCATTAGCCACGCCTTTCGAAGCTACCAATAAGCAAATGCTGATAATGGCATGGGATGTACTAAAGGCTTGGCAAAACCATGTATTTCGGCTGGCCTCACGGGTGTCAGCCAGTCGTTGAGATGACGACGGGTGGCGAGGGGCGGTGGCGATGATGGCGAGGAGGATGATGAGGAGCAGGATGAGGATGAGGATGATGCTGATGGTGCTAGTGGTGGTGATGATGAATGTCCAACGATCTGAGAGCCAAGGAGAAAGGCTATACTTGAGCATGCCAACTTGCAAATGTTGAGGCTCGTCGCAGAGAGCTGCGACTCTAGAGCGCTGCTCGGTGCATGACGCCTGCAGGGTGCTTGCGCAGCGCGGCCCGGCGGCATGAGGGTAGCAACTAGTCAGAAAAGTCAGCTGCCACGAGTTCTTCTGCCCCGTAATCGTCATGGACAGGCTCAGGGTCGGCAGTCTGTTCTGGCAGATGCTCGGCTCGGCCCGGGCTGGGCGAGGCCGCGCGGGCAGGGGCGGCGCGCGCGGCTAGCAAAATACCTCCGCTCACGAATCGCATCGGCGTCAGAAACCCTCGCTGATAGTCTCGGGCCAGTGGCCCACCTCGTCCTCGAGCCAACCCGCTGGCGCCACTCCTTCGCGGTGAATCGCTGCGTCCTCGGCCCGCAACGCCTCCTGAATGAGTGGCCGCCCCTCCCAGTTGGGGGCGCCGACTATGACCTTCGTCTTCTGCGAGTCGTACCAGCTCTCTAAACGCAGGGAACTCAAGCTGCTCTCCAGGTCGGCTTTGTCGACGTCGGGCTCCGCCTCCGCCTCGTCGGGGGGTCATTTCAGCAGGTGCGCATGGATCTCGTTCTTCGCCGCGCCGCCGATTTCGCGCATCGCCGGGCCCTCCAGGGGCGCCGGCGCTAAGCTGGCGGCGGGGGGCGATGGCCTGTATTCTTCTTGCCGTCGGCTCCCGGCGCGCAAATTGAATCGAGCAATCCTTTGTATTCCTCCAGCTCTGCGCT